TCTGAAAGCAGAAGTCTAGGGCAAATAATTGCAAGTCTCTTCAGTGCGCATGTCACAAAATAAGATGCATTGTGGGACATGTAGTTTATGGGCAACGTGCTTCTGTAAAGTGGAATGTAACCGTATAATAAACATATTATATTCTTTGCAAGCTCTTGAGGGCCGCATAAAATGAAGTCGCGGGCCGTATTTGGCGTCCGGGCCTTGAGTTTGACACCCCTTCCTTAGATGAATGAAGGTATTTTGGGAGATACTTTTATTTTGAAAAGACAGCAGTGGCGCAGCTTTTGTACGTCACGCGGTGGCGCGCTGGGTATCCGCCTTGTTGATACTTTTGCAGGACTGCTCGTCTTAAAATATTGAAATAAGCTTTGTGACTTAATGCAGGTTTGAACATATGAAAAGTCAACAAAAGGCATTAAGATGTGGATACTGACAGCCCTGGAGCCTGGAGGTAACTTTGTCTGTAATGGCCGACAATGATAGCTTAACACACAGCTAACAGCTAAATTAAATTCAGATCTCTGTTCAGTGTAGATACAGTTATGATAAAAACAACTAAAGCTTCTTAACTGACCGAAAGAGAGTGCATATGTTTTTAGAGTAGTATGAAATCCTGGTTAGCCATGTGCCAAGTTGTGCATGAGTTTCGTTTTCATGCAAACCATGTAGTACATGTGCATTTTAAATGTTCTTATGATGTCATTTAATTGGGCCAAGTTTGATTCATTAGTTTTGTTGAGTGTCATGCACTAAACATAGGCTTTTATGGCACAGGACAGCAAAAAACACTGGGCAAATCATAACATATCATTTCACAATATGAAAACGAATATGTTCAATATCATGTAATTCTAATAACAACACAAGTCTTACCATTTGGATGTAGTGGTCGGCCTTAGTTGCCCTGTATTTTCTAAAATCTTGCTAATACTATTTATGTGTCACTCACATTATTTCCTTTGTTTTTTGTCTCTTCTGCTTAAACAATTGAGTGTCACCATTTTGGGATCATTTGATATCTTATGACAAATTCATTAATCAACTTACCTTCAGGAAACCACAGACAATTTGGATTCTTCAACTGATTTTCTTCCCCAAACCGTTCGTTCCTCAAGCCACTGAACATAGGGCTATGCAAGGCAAAATGAAAGTCATGAACATGACCAGGATAACAAGAAAAACCCACTCAAACACTGCTCTTCAGGAAAAAACATAGTTGCTCAGTACACTCAGTTGCCAGTGGTAAAACATCAGTTCTTAACGGATCTTTTACCACTGCCCTCTCTGTTTAAACAGACATTACATTTTATATAACGTTAAGTTTAGTAATCCTCTTTGATTTGACCATGTTTCTGAGCTTTGCCTTACTCCAAAACATAAGCTTTGTGATCAGGTTATTTTATTCCCTTTATAATTATATCACACTGCAAATAATTGCTAAAAATAAAACCTAAACTAGTAGGAAACATTGCAGATTGTGTAATGTGTAAATATGTCGTAACAGAACCATCAAGAACAGTTTGAGCCTCGGTATCTTGCATCTTATCTGCTGTAAGAGAACGTCCACGCATTAAAAGTGCACTTTCACAACTTGTCATGGGAGTTTTTAAATCCAGAGTTAGGTTGTCTGTTTCGGATGTTTACCATAACTTGCCTCCTGTCACTCGCAGGTGAGACACACTATCTGCTCTCCACTAAAGAGTATGTCGTGGGACGCAAGAACTGTGACATCCTCCTCCCCAACGACCAGTCCATCAGCCGGGCTCACGCTCATCTCACAGCCACTGACCAGGTGAGAGGGAATTAGAAGACCAAAATATTCATTTGACTATATCATGCATTCCTTCTAACAGTGTAACAGTAGATGAGTAGTCTGATTTTATTTGTACAATAGTGTGGTCGCACTTCTACACAGAAGGTGGTGCTATTGCAGAGGTGTAGCATGACGGACAGATTCTCAATTGTGTCACTTACTTTCAAGTGTAACATCAGTCAGTTTTATAAAACTTCTCAGAGATTTGACATATTCTGTATTTAGTAAAAAATATATAATTTATGTCATGCTCATTCTAGATGCCAGCCTTATTGGTATTGATTTAACTTATAAGAGACCAACAGTAGAGTTGCAGTGGTGAAATAAAATAGCTTTCTACATACACTAAAAAATGACGAATAAAACATGAAATGGTCTCCATCACTCATTTACTGGGTTAAAAACAAACCATGCAGGCTTTGCTGAGTGTTAACACTTACGCAATTAAACATACATGATTGTTATTGTATCAGGACTGATAGGTTGTTTTATATATATATATATAAAACAACCTAAGATATTTACTGATACTGTCCATGTTTTTGTCTAGGGCCATTCAATAAGCTGAAATACCACAATGCCCTCACAACTGCAAAACAAAAATCTACAGGGTGAGGTTTTGACATCAGTAAGCACTTACAGACAGAGAGATGTAAAGGCTGATGGAAACATGAGCAGCAGCATTAGTCAACAAGAGACACTTTCACAGAGCTCTGTTGTTTACGAGTGATAGTGCACACATCAGAAAAAGTTACACACTCTCGCCAACATGTAGCAGGCTGATGCTCAACTCAAGTGATTAGTATTGGTTCCCAAATTCATATACTTCCTGTATTACTCTATGTTTATCAGACTTACCACAATCAAAGTTCATGTGTATGTATTGTCACATTTAAAATACAAAGGTAACATTTGAGGCAAGTCTTGTTTTTATTTTTGAAGGTATACAGTATGTGGTTAAAAGTGTGTAAAGTACCAGCTCCTACCTTTTTTTGTGTTTTATGGGGATTATCAACTCACTTCTAGCTCCGATTTAGTTTTTCTTCTGTATTTGTCAGAACCTTCTTGGTATGTTATGTTTGATGTGTGCATTTCTATTTGTTCATAATGCTGTTGTACCATTAAAGTTTCTAAAAGTAATTCTCTATCTGTTAAAGAAGTTTCGTAACCGTCTTGGTTACTGCTTTTGGATGTCATTCGTTTAGCATGCAGGCTGTAGTCCTGTGCATTACTTCCTACACTTAACAGTTTTAATTGATTTTGCAAGCCTAAGATACACTTCCAGCTTACGCTTATTTGAAAGGATGGGCTTCTTGTCGAGACATGAATAATTGAACAGACAGTCCAGATGATTTGTTTGACTGATGGACAATTTCATGAGTTGCTTTATTTCTTTATTTCTTAGACCCTGACTGTCAAAGACACCTCCAAGTACGGTTCATTTGTGAACGGCCAGCGCGTGACGGAGAACACAACAATGAACCTGAAGTCAGGAGACAACGTTACATTTGGGGTGTTAAACAGCAAATTCAGGTAAATAACTAACAAGACAAGGCTAGTTATTTTTTCATATAACAGAACCATGATCAATAAGTCTGATTTCATCTTGTTTTATTGCACTAGTGTTAATTTTGACTATGAATGTTGATGTAGGTTTAGTCAAAGTCTTTTGAAAAAGTCACATGAATAGTTTTAGTTCAATTTTACTTAACTAAACCTCAAAATATTTTGGTCAATTTAAATCTACAATTGATGTCTTGTTTTCTTTTTTGAATGCATTTGTTGACAAACTATGACTTGAAGGAAATAGCCTTGAATTCCTTTCAAGCTTAGTTTTATTTCCTCAACATTTAGAAAGGTCTCAATTCCAAATCTCTTTGCAGTTTGGACCATCAGAAGCCTGTAGTGTGTTCCTCATGTGTGGACAATGAGGGCAAGACGTCGCTCTCCCAGGCCCTGGTGGCTGTGGGGGGTAAGCTGGTCAACACCTGGACGCAGGACTGCACCCACCTGGTCATGCCCACTGCTAAGGTTACCATCAAGGTCAGGACCAAACTTGTTTATTCTCAATAGAACATGTGTGTATTTGGCCCCAATTATGTATTTCATGTTTTTCCTGATTTCCTATTCAGACCATCTCTGCTCTGCTGTGCTGCCGTCCCATCGTGAAGCCGGAGTTCTTCTCAGAGCTCAGCAGAGCTGTTCAGCAGAAGTTGCCCCCTCCTAAATCTGAGAGGTACAAAATCAGCCATCTTTATGTATATACATGCTCACTGAGGATTAACTGACCATCAGACGCCACACTGAACATTATCTCCCTAACTGTGCCGTTCATTGTTTTTAAGTTTCATCCCTGAGATCGATGAGCCCAGCCTGAGTAAAGAGGATGTAAACCTTGGACCGAATCCAGTTCGGAAACGGCTTTTCAACGGAAAGACCTTCATATTCCTCAGTGCCAAACAAGTACGTCCACATTTTCCTTTGTGCTATTCTAGGTCACAGAACAGCAGGGCTGCAGGTGATCAGTTATTATTGCTCTGCAATTATCCTCTTGAGTCAAGGATAACAAAACACATGAGATTTTATAAGAAATTATCTCCGCCGTACCCTGCTTGTTTTTTCTGTCATTAGCTTTGCTAATAATTGGAAGGTTACATGATCTCGTCAGCGTCTTGTTTATCCGCTGAACATCAGTTGGCAGGCAGTGAGCAGCACGGAGATCCTCTGGGAGACCAACTGCTCCAGTGAAGAACTGTAGGCTCCATCTTAGGACCTTTGCTTTTTAATATTTATATGCTACCTCTGGCTGAAATGATTAAAAACAGCGATCTAAGCTATCACATCTATGCAGACGACACCAGATTTATTTTAAAATTACACAGGGAGACTACTCTCCGATTAGAACACTGAGCAAGTGAATTGAGCACATCACTGACTGGATGACTCAGAACTTTCTCCAATTGAACAAACAAAAAACTGAGATCATTGTTTTTGGAGCAAAGAAGGACCGATTA